GAATCATCATCGAGAATCCTGAGAGTTTGATCATTCAAAACTAGACAATGAGAAGTTGATATATTTGCTATCCACAGGAGTAGATGAGACCAAAATGGTGTCATTATAAATAGTGGCAGGAGTTACAGAGTCAACCAGTAGTTATTGAGTCTAACTATTATTATTAGAAGGAAGACACAGCTCAATGACTAATAAAACAATAATGCAATGAAGTAAAAACTTCCCTGAAGGATTTGATATTCTGGCTAAAGGGAAGTAGCAGTAAATTAAGTATATATGTAGGGACTGGGAAGATAGCTCCTTTGACAGAAATGCCTACTGCCAAACCTAATGACTTGAGTTGGATCCCCCTCAATGCATATGGTAGAAAGTGACATCCAAATTTGGCAAGTTATCCTCTGATCTCAATATCTATGCTATAGGACTAATATCCATATAACCCAATCACATGTGCATATAGAATGAATAAAATACAATAAAAAAACCAAACACATATAAAATGGAGCATATTTGGTGATGATCGAGGGTATGTATTGAATAAAACATGGAAAGAGACTAGACTATTGGAAGATGACATGCTATGAGTTTAAAAATGTCAGTCAGGCAGTATACCGAAGTGCAGACCTGACAGAGACAAGGAATGCATCATGAATATCTAGAGGAAGATTTGTCTAGGCATAGGGGACAACAAATGCTGGGCTTCTGATGTGAACGTGCAATGAGCAAGGTAGGGAAACAGTAAGAAATGAGCGGTTTGGAGCAAGAACTAGAGGGAGGGTTTTATGTATTTTAAGGGTTTAACACCTATCTCCAATGAATGGTAAGTGAATGGGAAGGCCTGAACAGGAGAGTCATGATCTTAAGATCACCCTGGCTTCGGAGTGGCAAGCACTGCTTAACTGTAGGTGGCCACTTCTAAGGACAGATGATCTAGATCTCTAGAGTTAGCAGCTGTGTATGCAGTGTGTGTGTGTGTGTGTGTGTGTGTGTGTGTGTGTGTGTGTGTGTGTGTGTGATACCCAGCTGGCTGTAGAGCACTGGAAATACCATATATGGCCTTCTGTGGGTTCAAGGGACTTAGACTCAGGGTCTCATGCTTGCTTACTGAGCACTCTCCCCACTGAGTCATTCCCCAGCCCACAGGAAGTGGCAGATTCAGAATCAGAAGTCTATTAATTCTAAGTCATTGTAGGGGTCAAAATTAAGAATAAGCATGTGGAGGGGGCATGGCTAATGGGTAAAATACTTGCCTGATAAACTTCGAAAAATGCTCAGAACTCAAAAGTAGAAGAGTAGTACCGTCAGTAAGTTCTCTTTGTACTTCAAGCATGGTCTGTGGCCTGCACATGCTCCCACATAATATAAATACACGGACACACACACACACACACACACACAAACATACACACACACACACACACACACACACACACACACACTATAAAAGAGTCAAGGATGCCGAGATTTGGGGCCTAAAGAATAAAATAATCAGGTTGGGTTTGTTGAAATGGGGAAGTTAAAATGGATAAGAGTCAAGATGGAGGACAGGAAGGTGAACTCAGCTTGAAAAAGACTCAGTCTGAGATCCTACTAGATGACTTTTGAAGATGTTGTTGGCATGAATCCATTAACATTGCAACCAGAACTGCTATTGGTGGTTTAGCATACAGGCAGCTGAGTATTTGTCCTATAGATTCATTTTTTTTTTTTGAATTCTGGACATGAGACTGCCAATATGATCCCCTTTAGAAATCAACATTTTCTACCACTTTCAAACCATCTGCAAATTTTTCTCATTAGATGCATAATCATAAGAGTTACCTCTCTTTGGCTTCAATTACTGAAGAGGCTAATTACTGTTAAGTTAAAGATGTTTTTTAGAAAGCACAAGTGTTCAGATGCCAAAAATTAAGTGTTTAATGGAACCTATAGTACTTTGCTTATTATTTTTCAACAAGAAACAGCACCTACAGTCTGCACTGGTGGAAATTCTCACATGCTGAATTCCATGATTACAAGGACACACTGCTTGCAAATTTTAAACTAGACTGTAAAAGGCTACAGCATATATTTTGAATTCACAATGTGCAGTCAAGAGGAAGTGTGTTTGATTAATAACAGTACTTCAAGCTGGACTGCTTCTACAGCTTTCATTTACCCACTCAGTCATCCAGTCAGCATTTAATGAGAGGCTGACATGTCCTGGAAGTGGACTGGTCATGGTGTCTGGGTGAATAAGGCACACAGAACTCTAAGTTCATCAACTGGAGGAGAAAAAAGATACCACACTGGGAATCAAAAATGGTTTCTCAGCTCTTTATACCTGAGGCACCACACAGAAGATTTCTTCAAATGATAATCATGTGAGCCTTGCCAAAAATTCTTAAATAGGACTTGAAGCTAAACCTCATTAATGCCTAGGATGATTATTCAAGGCTCCCAGTAACAACATCAGAAATAGCTGTGAAAGATGCCGTCTTATTCTATTTTGGTACATGCTTTAAAAATCACTAGCATAATTTAAAAAAAAAGAATGGACATTCTTCATATGTAATTTAAACATGACTGAAGAATTTATGAAATTTCCCATACAATTTAAAAAACTTTTGTTAGCAGCATTTATAGAACAATGTGTAGACTCGTAAACTCTAGCTGAACTTCAACACTGGAAGAACACTATTTTAAAGAGAGATTTAATTCACTTGGGTAAATTCCCAAGAGACAGCAGCTGTGTCATCAATGCATTCCTGACTACCTCTGGGCATATTACCCAGTCACCCAACACAGAGCAAAATCTCAATAACACTGGTTTTGAAAGGAATGTCAACATTCTATATATGAGCTTGGAAGAGAGAAGGAGACAATGTTTCACAGACTCTGAATGACTGTCCCATCATCTACTCCAACATCTTTTTGAAGGGATCTAAATTTCCTGTGGCTCACTCATTTCATTTCTAAAGAGAAGACACAAATAGCTTCCAAGTCAATGTTGCCATGAGAATTAAGAATCAGTACATGAACAGTATTATGAACTGTGAGCAGAAATTGTTCATAAATGTTAACTGTTAAAACCATTATTATCATCATTGTTATGCATACACTTGCCTTTCCATGCTGCTGTCTCTCCATTATAAAGGAGTTTTTTATGAGTTCATTTCATTCACTGTATATTATCAAGATACTCTTATTAACACATAACACCCCTTTCCTGTTGTTTCCCTAGTGGAGTAAGTTCATCACTGATAGCTCTGATATCATAGTTATTTTTTTCAGTTATTTTTTATTTTAGTGTGTGTGTGTTTGTGTGTGTGTGTGTGTGTGTGTGTGTGTGTGTGTGTGTGAGAGAGAGAGTATACATATGAATGTGCTATCTCACATTATGAAATCAGAGGACACTTGTTTTGAGAGAGTGATTATTTTCTGTTCTCATGTGAGTTCCATGAAACTCAGCTCTTCAAGGTCAGAGACAAGACCCTTTATCAACTGAGCAATCTTGCTAAACCGTAGTCTTGTCTTTTAAAAATTCCCTAGTAAGCAATCACATTGATTATTAAGTTAGAGGTTGCACAAATGTATTTTTGAATTAAACTTGCTTAAATGTGTTTTTGAAATCAGTGTTTTTGATTGATGCTGGCTTTGCACATGTAAATAATGAGGAATACTTAAGCTTTAGTAATACTGAATTATTATCAAGAGAACCAAGTATCTTTACTGAAAATTTATAAATGCAGATCATTTTTCAGTTTATATATTTTCAAATAGCACACTCTTGTTCTGTGTGTAATTCATAAGAAATGGACCACACTTTCCCTAGCAATTAGGCAAGGATAATGTAAAATCCTCACATTACTGGGTTGCTTACAAATGGATGCTATGGAAGGAAATAAATGACTTTGTTACTACACTGTTCCTCTGCAGTGTTCATTATGCTAATAAGTAGCTAGCCATGCTTTTTCTTTTTATAAATAATGCAAGGATAAACATACAAACTTCCTCCATCCAATGACAGTGGTTAATTAACATCAAAAGTAGTAAGATTACACTTCATATGTACTTTAAGTTACCAGTATTCTAATACCACTTGCTTATAATATTCATCTGTATATTACCAGCATTCTTAGCAGTTTAGGCAATGAGTGTATGCTTTCAAACAAATTTGGACTCGGTAATCTGCAAATAGATGGTTCAAGTGCCAACCAAGAACAAGAATCATCTCATTTCTGTATAAACTTAGTGAAACACAGAGATTGACTGAAGTAAACTTTGAAATTAAATCAAGAAAACAATGGTGAACAAACAAAAGTACCAGTGTACTCAAGGAACTTAACCCCTTTTACCTCATTTTCCTCACTTTTTCGAATTGAAATCAGAAGGGAATGATCATCAAGTCTTTGGTAGATGAATTTTCTTAGCCACTTTTACCTATAATCACTATGACAATAACAGGAACAGTTTAAACTCAAGGTGTGTGTGCTATGAGAAAGTAACCAAATGCAAATAATTGACTTTCTTGATGACTAATGCAATTATAACATCATCACAGCTCCTGAGCTAAACTGTGAATACATAGGTACCACAAACTCAGCTTGGAAGACAACACTGGCATTGCTTGTTAGAAGTTTTAGTGTGTCACACAATCTGATTATTATAACCTCTTAATTGATTACGGAATATTTTACAGAATGTGAGAGAGAAAGGCTTAAAACCAATCTCCCGGGTGTTGGCGTCAGCTTCCAGTTATTTATGCTTACCACAAGGTTCAGAGAGCTAAAGACTATGAGGTGCACCCAACAAAGCCTACCACACTTGCAAAGGAGACTGGATGGACCTAAGACAATGTACATTATGTTCAAAGGGAAGCTCTACTCAAAGAGTTAGGGATATTATTATGAGAGTAGCATTGTGCAATCCTCTGGGTTTCATCACTTAGTGGCATCATCACTGACACCACAGAGTCTTTTTCTTTACATTCTGAAAGTGGAAAAATGGAGTCTACTTACGAGTTTTCTTGGTGGTTGCATTAACTGTGGCACTGAAGGGACCAGAGCCTGCACTGTTGTAAGCCCGGACTGCTGTGTAATATGCCAGGTTGCTCTTCAGGCCCCGGAGCACAGCTGATGTCTGATTTCCTGCCACTTTCATTTTGCTGGATGATTCTTCTTCTTCTTCTCCATTGTTCCAGTACTGCACCTGGTGGACAATAGATACAAAACATGCAAACAGCTGGACCAAATACTGCCTTTTCCAAAATTCAGTCATTTTCATTAACATTGGCGCTGTGATGCATTTTCTTGTTTATTCCACCAGCATTCCCAGGAGGCCCACTGTGTGCCAGGTGCTGCACTCAACCTTGTCACAGCTGTTGGTATACAGAAAATGGAATGAAGAAGAGTTAGATAATAGTCATATAAACAAATGAAGCAGGATGTGAGTACAGTCAAGTGCAGGATTGCAAGCAGGAATGCAGAGGAGTAAACTGACATTCTGAACAACAAACACGCTGTTGGAATTCCCATTCTTTACCAGAATAGCCCAAGTTCAGATCTGCAATGCTGGACTGTATTCATGAAGCACGAATAAACTCCACGGGAAAGAAGAGATTCCTTCTGGGAAGAAAGTGGAGGGTCAGGAAGAAAAATCTGAGAAAGAAGAGTGACCACTGGAATATCCCACAGCAATTCCCAAATGTCACCAAATCTACCTGTGCATGCAGCAAAAAGCAGGAAGTAGGCAAAGCAGCTATTTTAAGTATAATCATGTTACAATATGTCAGTCACACGGTCTTGCTATTCTGTGATATGCTAAAACGGTTTCAGATTTATTAAACAGGCATGGGCCTTAATGCTATAAAGATAACAGAAATAAACCAGTGATGATATTCAGCAGAAAGGGATGTGAAATCATGTAGGCAGTTGGTAAAATGCTTGCTGCACTAGTATGATCAGTGCAGTTCCTATCCTTAGCACTCATGGCAAGTACTGATGACAAGCACCTGTAATCTGAGTTCTGAGGTACATAGAGAAGAGGACCCCTGGGGCTTGCTAGGCAGTAGGTCTAAGCCAATCAGTGAGGAAGGGACCCTGTGAGGTGGGAAAAGTCATTGAGGAAGATAACAGATATTGACCTCTGTTCTCTACAGGCATCACACACACACACACACACACACACACACACACACACACACACACACACACACACACACACACTATACAGGTATTAAATGCTTACTATTGTGTGATAAAATGCTCCTTTATTTGTATATAAGTACAGATTCTTCATGAAGTAAAAACAAATCATCAATGACAAACACAGAAATAAAAAGCCTATGTAAAATACAACCCCATGTTGGGTAGGAATAAGAATAGTTATGAACATTGGATCATTTAATGTAAACAATGAAGTTAAATAATTTTTAAACCCAACATCTATTTTTAATTTGAATACAACATAACTAGCAACAGATCTCCATACTCACAACCTTAAAACAATGAACACTGTGAGGACCAGGCTATCTCTGGAAGCATACACTAGCTCTGCCTGTTTATAGCTGTGGTAGATCAGTTGCTAGAATGTTCACTAAACAAGCACAGAACCCTAGGTTCAATGCCCAGCACCCCTGGGTGTACTGATTCACCTCCTCAATGCCAGCACTCTGAAGCTACAGGCAGCATGCTCAGTACTCAAGGATATCCTTAACTACATAGCAACTCCAAGGCTAGCCTAGGCTAGAGATGGTGCACGATGAAAAGTAAAATATTTAAAGAGCAGAACTCTAGTTATTGAGTAATATTTGCTCAGTTTTGAAATTCACTATACAATACTCTGTAGATCAAACAAATCATGCTGACTAGTTAGATAGTATATTGCTTTTAGCCCTCTGAATAAAAAGATATCAGAAATTACTATATTACTATATTTTTTCAAATGAACATCTATAAATTTATTCCTTAAAAATAATAGCACAATTGAAATCTCATGTTTTTACAATAATATTCCTAAATTAACAAAATAAACAGTTCAGCATTCTCTTTCTCACCATGTTATGAGGCCCTTCTACCCATATATGTGCTGTTTTGATGCTATTTTTGTGCATTTTCGAGAGAACCTCAGCCCGGGTATCTGAATCCAAATCTTTAGAAATGAGCTAAATATGATTTTCTTTATAAAGTCACTGATAAGCAAAGTGTTAACAGACACCAACATCTTTTATAAATCTTATAACACCAATACTGAACACTATATATACACTGTGAAGTATAGATCACCTGCCTGGAGGACACTATCTAGCTATTTTCTAGGAACGACATCTAATCAATAATCATAACAAAATGTTATAGTCAGCCGGAAAGTTTTGTGGCCTTGGATATAACACAGGTTGGGGAATGTGTCACATAAATCTATGTTATAATAATTATCACTTAACACATGATGCAGGAGAGGGATAGAGAGATTTGGTAACTCAATCAAGATCCTGTTTAACTTCTGGTTTCTTGTTAGTTTCTAATTCATGAGTCATAGTTTTTGAGATATCAAATTAATTCAGTGTAAGCTGCCTAAAAAATATGCCTTGGGAGACTGATGTAAAGAAGAAGTAAAAATAATTCACAATTGGCACGTGAAGTCTACTTTTATAAACCAATTTATAGAGAGTGCTTGAAAGTTCTTGTGAACAATACATGTTAAAGTACTATAACTCATCTCTGAGGATTGGAGGGATTTATTTTTAGATTGTAGTTGATGATAAGTATTAGAAACATTTAGACACAGAGAAAATGTATGCTAACGTTGGACATAATACTAGTCAATGAAGAGTGACAATTTTCTTAGATAGCTGTAAAGAGGTGAATAAAAATAAAAATAACCAGAGTCTAAAAATAAAAGGAGTTGGAAATTTCTTATAAGCAATTTTTCTGTAAGTACTCTAATATGTTCTATAATATTTTTCATAAAAATGCATTTTTCATTGGTTGTTTGTTGTAGAGCTAGGGATTAGAACTAAGGGTATTGTACATATAAGGGATCTACCTAAGCTATATTTATTTTTGGACCCTTTTTTAACTTTATTTTTATTTATTCTTTGCATCTGTTTCATCATGCATCCCCATCCCATTCATTTCCTGGCCCTTCTTCCACCCTCTGTTCTTGTAACCATCCACCAAAATAAATACATAAATAAAATTTAACAAAAATAAAAAATGAAAACAATCTTGTCATGGAAGCTGTAGTGTGGCACTGTGAGTCACACAGTAACCATCTTTATCCATATATCTTTTTTTTTTTCTATAGGCAAAATTATTATTTTATATTTTATTTCTGTATTTCCTCAAAATTACATATGCAGTACAATGTCAGATCATTTTGGATCCCCTAATTTCAAAAACAGGTTTTTTTATCCATTTATTTTTATGTACAAGTGTTCACTTCAAAAAGTCATTGGTCTGGTTTGAGGCATCTGGTTTCTGTTTCACTATTGATGCTGTGCCCTCACTGGGACTCCTGTTGCTTATCCTGCTGTTTCCCTGCATCATGGAGATCCTGCATTAGGTGTGTAGCATCAGACCCTTCATGTGCTCCAGCAGAGTACAGATGGGGTGGATATTGGGATGGGTCAACTCATAACCCTGGTTCTGGGTCTGGGTAGTTGTAGGGTTGGTTAGCCCACTATTGCTGCCCTGTCTTCACCATTCGGGAGAGTGCCCCCTGCTCCTTCCTGGGTAACACAGTAGAGTTTAGCCCTGAAGGTATAGGTGTGGGAGAGCTGACTTAATGAGACTCTGAAAATTAAAACTAAAAAGAGGCCGAAACCACCACAGTGAGATCTCCTTGATAGTTCACCCCTTACAGCCAGGAGCAAGGGGCAGGGCCAGTTTTCCTACCTTTATGTCCTCAATGTCAGCTCACTGTGCAATCCAGGATGGCCTCGAACTAGTAATCCTCCTAAGTCAGCTCCCCGAGTCAGCTGTGTCAGCAGGCCCAGCTGCTAAATAATTCTGCATTAATCCATTTTCCTTGGGAAATGTTCAAGATTCAAATAGTGTCAGCATTCCCACTGAGAGAATATAATATCTTCTTGCTAACGTAAGGTTTAAAGGCGCTGCTTCAACAAGGAGATGTGAAGAGAAAAGTGTCTACAGTAAGGGAAACACTTTGAAAATGTGTGCCAAAAAAGAATTGCTATGAAGTTGGGAGACCAGGAAGGAAGGTTCTATTAAAAAAAAATAAAAGCAGAAATTCAAGTGTTGTAAATGACTAATTGTACCAAGAGTCACAGGTGGGATAGTAGCTACTAGCCTGCTAAAGTAGACTAAAAAGTCATCATCTTTACAATATCCAAGTGTATGGCAAAAGGGATAAATTCATTATGCAAGAATAAAAATAAAGTCAGCTAAATTTGAAAAGCAGCAGGCAGAATTGAAAAGAAAAATTATTAGAAAATAAAACCATTGATAATAATGGAGATAAAGAAGCACGGTGGAATCCAGATCATGGTCCAGAGGAACAAAAATCATTATGAAAGTGAAGATCTGAGACATGGAAGATTGGCTATTTAGAACTAACTGGAGTCCTGAAAAAGGGACTGGGAAAAGAAATCAACATTCAAAGGCACATGAATGTGATGTTACAGAGCTTGATGGATGAAGTCACCTTCATCTTATAAATTCACATAGAGTTTACTGTGGGGAAAATAACACGGGAAATCATATGAAAGGAGGTGATGAGGGGTCAGCTGTGCTTCTTAGCTACTGTACACAGCTGGACACCTTGTAGGTCTGCTGGTTTGCCTCTGTAATGGTAGTGAGCCATTGCTCCCTAGTTATCTGGAGAGGAAGCAGTGTGTGTGTGTGTGTGTGTGTGTGTGTGTGTGTGTGTGTGTTTGTGCACGTGTGCATGTACTTCATTGCTAAGGGCAGTTTCACACCATAGGAAATGATTTATTTATTCTCAGAGCTCTATTACTGAGCAAGTACCCTCCTTTAACACAGTCTCATTTCCTACATTGTTGGTTAACCTCAGTGGATCACAAGTTTCTTACAACTTCTGTAGAATAAGATATTTTATGGAAGAGAGAGGGCATTTGTATAACTGTCATATGTGTTTCTTTTATTATTAGCTATTGGTAATCTTTCATGTGTATCATTTATAAAAGAAACTTATCCATGGTTTTAGAATTTCTCTAGAACCTTGGAACA